GGAAGCTCCTTAAGCAGAAAGATAAACAACTTACAATACTTGGAGGAAGTTCCTGAAGCTGACCAGATTCACTCGCCCCTCCCTGCCGGAGTAAGCAATAAAATCAGAGAATTTCTCTCAGACAAACCCAACCGAAAAGAAGACTCTGAGACCAGCCTAGCTGCCTGGAAGAGGTTTAGACCAACCCAGGTACCTGGAAAGGACACTCTCTTAACTTATCAAGATTCTTGCAGGCTGTGTGCTCCAGGTCCCCAGCTTTGTGAGCAGTCACTCATGCTGGTGTGGGCTTTGGTGATGCAGCTGTCTTTGAGTCATTTCTGCTCCTGTAAGTAACCCCTCACCCATACTCCTATATATCCCCAAGAAAACTCCTTGTTGACCAACTTGGATTTTGGTGATATCTGTATTTTGGTCTGTCATGGTTTCCCTATCTAGGATATATAGACATGTGTGTTGTGTCTCCCCGAGAAAAGTTTTGTCACACAACAACTCGACTGGCTTACCATCCAGCTTCCAGGGGTCTACCTGTCTTTCCACCCTAGCTCTGGAATTAGAGATGCATGCTACAAACCTTGATTTCTGCATGGGCATTGGGGATCTTCACGTTTAAGCACTTCAGGTGCTGTGTGCACTATCTATCCGACTGTCCCCTCAGTCTCTGAATGACGAAATTAGAAGGAAGGTATCTGACGACTACAAATTCCCACAGATGGCACCACCACAGTGTGGGTCTCAAGGACTGGCCTTCCCTGCTGCTGCCCGTTTCTGCTCCTGGTTCCCCTCTGTCCCCTGCACTGGTGGGGCGGAGACTGTGGAATGGAAATACGAAGCCACAAACAAGGCCACCTCATCACCTTACTCCACACCTGCCCACATGTAGCCGACCAGCTTCTCCTCCAGGACCAGCAAGAAAACTGCATGACCCTTTGCTGTGGGAAAATCTGACCATTTCACGGCTGTTCGGCTGATAGTAAATATTTTTTTCTATACCAAATAGGGACTTGAGTCTTAAGTTACCAAGGCAACTGGAAACTAATGAATTAGCCCCAGGGAAGCATTAAATAAATAAATAAACAAACAATAGACAGACAGATAGACAGACAAGAGGGTTGAGTAATGCCAGAGGTCATGTCTTCTAACTGACCTGTAGAAGAGCTTGGAGAATATTAAATTTCACCCTACACTGACCAATCTTGAAATTCTCTTTGCTTTGGGTATTTGTTCTGTAGAACAAGAAAAGCGCCAAGCAAGGGATCGGCTGAACTCCACACGGAGTGTTTTCTCTTCCTCTTCTCCTTAGCGCTGAGTATTAAAAAGCATACCTGTGTACCCTACTATCCCTGAGCTGCCCCTTGGCCCTACACTGTTTCCTTTTCTTGTTTTAGAGCATTATAGAGTAACTTGTAGATGCTAAAACTAAGACACACAAATCATATAGAGCCTTCAGCCGTTTTCTGGCAAAACTGTAGAACGGCATCTGGAGTCTGTCACTGACATTGACATAGTCAAGATAGAAGTTACTCCCATCCCCAGGGGGTCTCTTCCGTCACATTGAACTTCACCTCCATCCTGCATTTCACCCCTTCACTGCTGGCTAGCACTCATTGGGTCTGTATTCCTAAAATCTTAGCTTTCTAACGCAATCATAGCAAAGAAATGATCTAATCCACAACCCAGAGATATTATTGGTCCTTTACACCCAGAGGCACACACAAGTCTTTGCACATATGAGTAGCAAGTTCCTTCTTAGTGCTGAGTAGTGTTCTGTGGCATATATCCCCTTCACCGTGTAAATACTAAAACCATTTACATTTTAGGGCTGGAGTGGTGGATCAGCGGTTAAGAGCATCAGCTGCTCTTGCAGAGGATCAGGGTTCAGTTCCCAGCACCCACATGGTGGCTCAAAACCACCTGTAACTCTAGTTCCAGGAGATCTGATGTCTTCCATTGGCATAA